TTATTATTATTATAATGTATGTATTATTCACTACTGATAATATGAATAATCTATAACATGACACTACTGATATATAACATGACACTCCTGATAATATGAATAATCTATAACATGACACTCCTGATAATATGAATAATCTATAACATGACACTCCTGATCGCATCCACCAAACATACAAGCTGTGACGATAGATTTTAGCGACGAGTGACGTCGTGTAAAACCTTGCGTGCACGTGGGGGTTCAGCGCGTCACAATATATCCTGTGGCTCGCAGTAACTTCTACAGGTCTAGCTCTACGCGTAAGTTCATGACTTCATGTATTTATATATAATAGTGTATAAGCACCGTAGTCACGTGATCGGTCACGCAACGTTCAGTGATCGGATGGTATAAACCATAAAACGCTCTTATTCACATCATGTTCACAGTATATCATATTAGACATCAAATTCTAATGTTTGCAGGCATTTAAGGGGCTTCGCGAGCGATGTTCCATGTTTCACCTGAATTCCTTTGACCTGCACTCTCCCATGTAAAGGGATCATCCGTCAACGACCTCCAGGAGTCTTTGACTCTGTGCCACTTCCTCCACAGGGGAAATAACAGAGCTGCTAATGTTAGCCTTGACGGTAAGAGCCTGTGTTGTTAAGCTTTTATTTCAAATAGCTTCAAGGAGTCAAAATGGCCGGGGCCTGTTGCCCAGGTTTAGCTTGTCTAGTACTGACCGATAATGAACCTAGGATCGCTCGGGAGCTAAAATCTATCACCAGTGTTCTGCACACGGGCACCGAACCTGCTGTGACTAACCTCAGCTCGTCTACCCTACGACCACAGAAAGTGGGTTCCGGAAAGTTCAACGCTTGCACACCACGTCAAATCAGGAGCATAGCTAGAACTCATTCTGCCTGGGCAGAAGGGGGAGTGGGCAAAGACACGAGTGGTTTGCGTTCTAGGTATTTGACTGCGGGCAGTTTGCCAGTGACGCATAGACCTAATATCGTCTACATCGGTCCTGGGGGGAGGGGACTGCCCCCCTTGCTCCCCCCTCCCCCCACACACACACCCGCTAGCCAGGGTCACTCTGCATGACGAGACGCTTCATACAAAACCGTTAGAAAGTCGCATGTGAGTGGGAAGCAGAGTGGCCGGAAACACCGACGTAAGCCGACGCAGCTGTGTGTGAGTCAACCTCGCCGCTGCGCTGGACAGCCGCCGCCGTCATCGCCGTCATCGTCGCCGCCGCGCAAACAATCGCGCCAGAGCTTTACGACGTTCGCGTGCCGATCCGCTGACGGCGACACCGCGGTGAACTCGCGAGGCTGCGGTTAAGCCACGACGCGCGCGGGGGGATGCGGGCCAAAAGTCTGGGATTCAGAAACCCAGGGGATGCAGCTCGTAGCTAGAGGTGTGTGCGTTCGTGTGTGCGTGTGTGCGTGAGTGCGTGAGTGTATGTGTGAATACGTGTGTGTGCGTGCGTGTGCGTTCGTGTTTGTTAGTGTGTGTGCGTGCGTACATGTGCGTGCGTGTGTGTGCGTGTGTACGTGTGAACGCGTGCGTATGTGCGTGCGTGCGTGTATGTGTGAATACGTGTGTGTGCGTGCGTGTGCGTGCGTGTACGTGCGAATGCGTGTGCATGCGTGCCCGCGTGTGGGTGCGTACATGTACATGTGTGTGCAGGGATGGGAGAGGTTAGAATCAGGAATGCCACGAACTGGGATGCTAAAAATTTAGGATAGGTAATTGCAGACGGGGGAGCGCTTCGAGTTAGCCGAGCTGTTCCAGGGCTGCGGATGCTGAGAGATGAGAATGCCGAAAACCGGGGGAAGCTGGTGAAGCTGACGCACAGCGATGCTGAAAGCTCAGAAGGATGAGAATCGGTGATGCTAACAGCTGGTGAAGCCAAGCACTCGAGTGATGCTGAGTGATGAGGAGGTCGAGAGTCAGGAAAGACGAGCGTCAGGGAGGCTCAGAGCCTGGGAAGCTGAGAGCTCGTGAAACCGAGACACGGTGATGTAAAAGATGGGAAGCTTAAGAATTTAGACAGGCAAGCACACACACTGCACATGTATGTGAACTACTGTGGGGTTTAACCCATTGCTTCCAAGAGGCTTTTTAATGTACTGATGCACTACTTCCTGTACACGGCAGATCTGCTGAAACGAATACACTCAGTCACCATATCCTAGGTAACATGCAACATGCACTGCATGTGTGCCGATAACAGAAATTTTGTTGAGCCGCCCAGCAATAACGTTATCATATGCATAACCTTGATGTTATGCATATATAATATATATATATTCACTGACACATCAGCCTTCGTTCATCGCAAAAACGCATTCGGATCGGCAAGCGATTGCTTTGCACCTTTTTTTCTCTCCACGACACAAACATAGATACATCCAAGAGCAGATAAAGAAGGCTTCTTTATCTGCTCTTGATACATCTCATCATCGCATTGACATCGCAACTTTATATCGCACATCTGCCTATATTACGTCAACGCGCTTTCACGCGGCTCGTTAGTGGAGACAGTGCAGGCCTGGGGCTGACTACACAATGCAGCCTTGCAGACGAGAACAGCACACGTGCCAGACGCAACGTGAAATAAAATATGAAGGCTATTTTAAAAGTTTCGAGCACTTTCTATGCGGTGTGCCACACACAAACACGCACCTCCCTCCCCCTTCCGCAAGATTTTTAAGTGCCCAATGAGTGGGTACCATGAACCAATGAATGACCGCATGTCACGCAATAACGAAAGCGGCAACGTTTGATATCAGACATCGATTCTCCAGCAACTTATATCTACGATGGCCCTACATTATCGGACATTGGTTCAATCCACTAGCGCTGCATCTGAACAGATGCTAAAAACGATAGGGCAGCGGTATCTCCACACAACTCCCTTGCGTGCATGTACACAAATTATTTGTGCAGAGTTTTACAGCTGTGTAATCGCAATCTATTTAAAATGGGTTTACGTGCAGCAGCATGTGACGTTTTTGTGCTGTATTCCCTAGCTTTTGTAATGTAGACCTGTAGTGTAATGTAGGTAGTGTAATGTAGGTAGTGTAATGTAGGGTAGTGTAATGTAGGTAGTGTAATGTAGGGTAGTGTAATGTAGGTAGTGTAATGTAGGGTATTAATGGTAGTCGTCTGTTCGACTAATGAACTTGACAACGCAATTCGACTCTGAATTGGGAGTTCAGCCTCAGGTGAAGTAAGGCATACAGGGTATTGATTGCATCAACTTACTTTAACACGGCTGTGAAACAACTCACAGTGAACTCTCAACTCATTCGTCAGTCTGTTTGACAGATGTGATTTACCAACCAGTAAGAGTCTATTGTAAATTTGTACACATGTTGACATCGGCCGATGTACTATACTACTGTATATGACTACTGTAGATTGTGATTTGAAATCACTGCGAGCAGAATTGTTTGGGGTGTTGGTTAATATTTATGGAAGCATTCCGAGGGAGTCAAATCGAGCCCAGCTGATATCGAATCAGGAAGTCCAACTGTAAAACCGGTAGTATTTGATAAAGGATTTTATATCTACCGGTAGATATAAAATCCTTTATCAAATACTTGCTGTTTTACAGTTGGACTTCCTGATTCGATATCAGCTGGGCTCGATTTGACTCCCTCGGAATGCTTCCATAAATATTAACCAACACCCCAAACAATTCTGCTCGCAGTGATTTCAAATCACAATCTACAGTAGTATAGAGCAAGAAAAAGGCAAGAAATAAGCACACACGTTACTGTTAGCTTAATGAAACTGTGACACTTCTATAGAGAGTAAACCATACTCACGCATTTGGGCAGACGCACTTCAGATATGCTGGCTTGATCTCCGCTAGTCCTGCCGCCCAGCCGTGCCTGAATACAATCACATTTTTTGATAACCATTGCCACACCAATCCATGCACGCATACGTGCACCTGCAAACATACATGTATACACACACAAGCACTCTTTCTCTCCCTCTCCCCCATCTCCCTTATCCCGGTGTCCCTGTCACTCTATACCTTGTTCACACACTGAGTAGTGAGTACCATTCCACCCTGGGAATTCTGATGTGTTTATGTTTCTCTGGTCTCTACACCACACGTGGCTGTGTTACAGCTACATGATTAATATATGCACTCGATGTGCAGATTATACAACTATAGTTATTTATTTCGTTATTCAATTACTTTGAAGCATTGGCAAGAGGTATTCTGTAACCAGACACGAGCACTGCATCAAGTTGATCTATGGTTTTCACTGATATGCCTATAATTACAATTGTTAGGGTGATTACTGCATCACATTCTCTGCTTTGTACAATTGCAAACAATATAGTACAAATTTGTACGCGTATGTTTTGGGGAAAATCGGTGAATGTCAAGTTCATTATTACCTGCCTGTCTCAATATCATTGCAAATACTAGTCGTTACAAGCATTTTGATTTTACAAGACACAGCCTGGATACGTACCCAGTGTCGCCCAGACCATGCAGAAATATCAGCTGGAAAATAAGCAATAAGAGATAACATAAATATTAGTTTACTGTCAGGTAGAAGAACACCTTAAAGGTTTGACAGATATTTTAGCACACAGGGTGATCATGCACACTGCATGTTCACATGTTCACCCATTATGTTGAACTTGATTATACGATTGTACATATCGACCACTGTTACTTCTACAATGACACAACCACCGATATAGAGAAAGAGGGAATATATAGATAAGAACATATAGATGTTATCTTGATGTTATCAAGAGCATATTAAGTATACTTAATACGGCTGAGAGGGTCTATGTCCCCCAGGGTACTGCCGGAACGTACCCTGGTACTATCTAATATGCCGGACCTTACCCCGCCTACTCCACTAACGAGTCTAGGGAGTCGCCTAAGCCTACTACCTAACCCTAACCATATCAAATAGTTACCAGGGTACGTTCTGGTATACCGGACCGTATCCAGGGTACGTTCCGGCAGTACCCTGGGGGACATAGACCCTATCAGCTATAATACACTCTTGATGTTATTTTACTCCCGCTGTTAGATACTGTACTTGTCTGTTTAATAGAATAGCGGAATTCTATGCAAGCGAGGTACCATATGCCTCGTGTCAGGGCATCTAATTGCTCGACCTAACTGTACACCCAGTCTACAGAGAAGGGGCAAATCCAGAGGGTTTGGGTGACCAGTTTCCATATGTTATTCTGCAGCTAGGGGGGGTCCGGGGGCATGGCCCCCCGGGAATTAAAAAAAAAATTGGCTATATTTGGTGCATTCTGGTGAATTTTGAGGCCTGTGACCGGTTTCTGGAAACTGGTGCGAACCGGCCTAAATCCGCGCCTGCAGAGAATGGCAGTTCTTCCCTTGCCCACAACATCATAATAGTGGTCACGGCACTGCAGAACCACTGTATTCTATTAAAGGAGGTATATTCCTTGGTTTTAGGCCTTAGTCGTTACAACGTGGCATATTTATGCTGTTGACTGTTGTGCTTACTATGTGATTAGACGATTCCTGGTCTTTTTATGTGGGGAAGGGGGGCGAGGAACAGATAACAGCAAAGAATGCAGTAAAAAGGCATGTTATGACTCGTAGGAATTGGCTTGAATTGGGTAGGAAAAGACAGGGGACCGAACCATTTTAGGCAGTGGCGCCCGCAGATAGAAGCACTGGAAGCACAGTGCTTCCAGTAAATTTTGGGTTAAAAAATTTTGTTCCTAAATCTCTCTCGCAAGACTCACCAGATTGCATCTCCAGATCGACGTCTACCATTTAAAAATTTCCACGGGGGGCATGTCCCCAGACCCCCCTAGCATGCAGCGTGCCTATAGCGCTTGCTTTTTATTATCACTGAGGATTTTATCCTTCTGTGCTTCTGTGGGCGCCAGTAATTTTTAGGAGTGAAGCGGTCTAGGGAACTTTACTGACGAGAACGAAGAAGCTCCTAATGTATATTTATAATATTATTATTACTATTAAGTATTAAGCTCCTGTGATTATCTCCAACGAATTATTGATATTTTACTTAGTGGTTAATTCATAATTGTTAGCAATAAATGAATAATAGTCGTACTCGTAGGCGTAATTGTTCGCATGACTGAATTGTATTTTACGTTTTGCTAGCTATCGACTATAAACTAACTCCACGAGCAACAGCAGTCATTGAAGTAGCTCTAGTATGGCCTGCGGCAACTGTACGCGGGCTATAGTACTAGAGCTATCATTGAAGCTGCATTTTGAAGAACACGTCTGACAGTGTCACAGTAGGGCCCTACTGTCAGGCTAGTGCAGTGGGTTTTAACTTTTACGGCTTACCGTCGCTGTGTGCCTCGCTGTCGCATTCACAATAACCGGAGCAGCCATATCCTCGTTGTTCGAGGGTTGGTTACCCATAAACCAGACCAGCAACGCAACAAATATAAATATACAGAAAAAGAACGTTCCACGAACAGTCGCCGTCTTACTTAGAAAGCAAAACACTCGAACTGTACGCGCTGGCGAAAACCTTTTGAGTTTTGACTGTACTGTATGGCGGTACACATATCACGTGACTGAGTAATGGTACTGTTGGCCAATTGAATATCTTTTTGAAAGGCGTTTTCTTTTACAATTCCAATGGTTGTTACAATTTACAGAAGTCAAATTAAAACATGCGGATTATATCATCCTAAATACATAGCGACATTAACTAGGTGTTAAATACAAATTACTAGTGTCATATATCAAGGAAACCCACGTTCCCACGTTCCCATAACCCCCTTAAACCCCAGCATCCGGCCGTTAGCTATATTATCGATTCAACTGTATACAGCACGCACAATCCGAATATATCAGGTACATCTGTCTTTTAAATGTAATGCAAGATTTTAATTCAGTGAAAGTGTTATTGTAGTTGAACATTTGTAGTTGAACATTTCACGTCATTTGGTCAGATGATTCATACAGTTAGTTGGTTTGCGAAATGGCGTCGATGCTCTTTTGTCTGGGAAGATGGCGGTATCGTTGTTGTTGCTCAGATGTTTTACAATAATATAAAAGCTTTTCAGTCGACATAAGAAGTATAAATGATATGTTATGCCTGTGGATAGTGTAGCTGTTTGTATTTTCTAACATATTCTGTACCAAAGTGTTGTTTTAGTCAAGCTTGGTAGTGTAATTAGACCCTGTAAGTATGCGCTTGTTGTTCTGTTGTTTCCACATTTCCGTGGCACTTGTTACTCTCCAACAAGTGCACATAGCTGTTTATCTGTTTTCAACTTAACAAGTGGACATGTTAAAAATAATTTCAATCAGTAGTTTTAGTCAAATACTGTCTCACCATTCACTGTGTGACTATTTATTGAACGCGAATAGGCCTACCTTCCAAATGTCTGCTGAACATCCCCTCCTCCATCATGATCATGTCAGTTCTTCATGGTCGGACTGGCATTACATGTCTACTTCAGTAGTCGCTACTTCTACTTGCATAAATTGTTCTGTTGTCGGCAAGACTAAGAAGATTGGCTGGCAGTACGGCAGTAGGCAGTACGGCAGTACCACCAAAAGTGGAGTTCAGTAAAATTATTCAAAATGTATGCTACACATCTCAGATTGCCAATGCTACTACTACTACTAGTGCTGAGAGGGTCTATGATGTCCCCAGGGCAGGGTTAGTGTTACTGCCAGGTACCCTGGTACTATACTATCTAATATGCCGGACCGTACCTCGCCTACTCCACTAACGAGTCTAAGGAGTCGCCTACACCCTAATTCTAACCCTAACCATATCAAATAGTGACCAGGGTACGTTCAGGCAGTACCTTGGGGGACATAGACCCTATGAGCGTAACTAGTAGTGCTCATAGACATAGGGTCTATGTCCCCCAGGTTACTGCCGGAACGTACCCTGGTAACTATTTGATATGGTTAGGGAGTAGGCGTAGGCGACTCCCTATACTCGTTAGTGGAGCAGGTGAGAGGTACAGTCCGGCATATTAGATAGTACCAGGGTACGTTCCGGCAGTACCCTGGGGGACATAGACCCTCTCAGCACTAGTAGTAGTAGTAGGATTACACAGTAAACACTAAAGACATTAATTAAGTCATTGTTACTAAACTCTGTGTTCACTGTTAACAATATTATTTTTATTAATATAAATTAGGCCGTGGCTACGCGTCCGGACATTCATCTCACGCAGTGGTCTTGTGACACGTACACGCATGATTGCGCAACGGTACGCTCTGCTGATTGCCGAGTGTGTGTGTGCGAGAGAGAGAGAGAGAGAGAGAGAGAGAGAGGGAATGTGTATGTGTGTGTGTATGTGTGAGAGAGAGAGAGAGAGAGCTAGAGGTGTGTGTGAGAGAGATAGTGCTGCGCGTGTGTGTGTGAAAGAGAGAGAGAGAGCGAGAGAGGACGGATGAAAGAATAGACGGCGGCAGTGCATATATTGTATATTTTCGGCAATCAGCAGAGCGTCCCGTTGCGTAATCATGCATGTACGCGAGTTGCGCAATCACTGAGATGGATGTCCGGATGCGTAGCCTGGAGGCTAGGCGACCGGTTCCGGACGCGTAGCCACTGCGTATAAATTAATAGTGCCACTACTAGAAAATATGTATGGCTTTGTTGGCTATGGTATGGTATGAGCTAGCTTTGTTGTGGTTACTCTGAATTGTAATCTAATAAACAGTTGTAACTGCCCAAATAGATGTAAGATAAAGTCGTCCATGCAATAGCTCTGTTATTATTTTTTATTTGTAGGTAGTTTGAAGCCTGAACCTAATCTTCGAGATGCCTCGGAGATCACAGACGCGAACTGTGGCTGGCAAAACCAGCACTGTGGATCAAACTGGTATTGACTGCTATCGATTATATATAAAATAGATCCCATTCCATAATCATTCCATAATCATTCCATTAGTTATGTGTTTGTTATTATACATACTGTTATCATGATATATATGTTATAGGAGATGGAAACTCATCAGAGAAGACTGGAGGGGAAGGAGATGAGGCTGCGAAGGAAGAAAATAAGATTCCAACTGAACCACCACTGGTCGTAAAACGTGGAAGAGGTAGACCTAGAAAGGACGGTACACCTGCAAAAAGCCAAGCCTCCCCAAGTGTTATCAAGAAGCCACCAGAAAAAGTATGTCACAATGTTTGCGTTTAGTCAAGTAAGGCATGTCTGCTAATATCAGTCCCTGTCTAGTTTTGTTTTCGTTAATCAGACAACTTTTCCTACAGCTTTAGCTTGAGTTTGTTTATTTGTTGGAGCTTTTTGCTGGAGTACTTATAAAAATTCAGAAAGAGATGTTAGCACTTCAATGCAAATATATAAATATGGCTGTTGTTCCTCCACTGGCGTGAAAATGACACCTATCGGCCGCAAAAAGATGATTTCATTAGTAGATATTCAGTATATACAGGGATGAGATTTTTCCGCAGATCCGCAGAAATCCGCGGATTTGACAGTCCCAGGGGTCGATTTTGTGAAACGTCTAAATTCGTTGAGAAAATTGGGTGGTGGGTGTGGGGGGGGGTAACAATGTAAAAATTTAAATTATATACCCTCAACAGCACCTGGCTGTAGACTGTAGAGTGTAGACAGTAGACTGACAGCGAAGTATACAGTGTATCTGTTTTTGTCTACCAGAAAAGAAAATCCTTGTTCACAGGCTGCAGTAGAGGGGCAGACATTTGAGGTAGCTGATCACTTAACGACCATGGCCTGGGGGCCGGGTTTACTTGTTGCTGTGTGCATGTTGTGTGCATGACTATGCACTGATTGTTCCATTCGCATTGTGTTTTTTTCATTCAAATCTCGTGGCAGCAAGGCAGCTTATACTGAGCATAGATATACAACACCTATATATCTATGTTGTATATATCTATGGTCTGAGTAAAACAATGCAAGCGACATATAATGCAGCAATTTAACCATAAGAAGTGAACAGAATCACTTATATTTTGTGAAAAAGTGGAATTTTTTTTTTACTATTTACGGTGACGTAATCACTTAAATAAAAAAACTTGCTTGCCCGAACAGGCAAGTGCAATTTCAAGCTACTTGCCCGAGGGCAAATTTTGGTTGGTCGGGACATCGGGCAAGCGGGGTTGTCGCGCCCTGCCAGTGGTTTTCGAATTTGGAAAATGGTGAAGTTAATTTCGAAAGAAGATGAATCGGCGATAGCAGAAGTAGACAAGGACGTGAGAAACAAGTTCCGCTGGGCATGGCTTGAAAAAACTGTGACGCTAACTGTCAAAATCGGCCCCCTGATTTCCTAATCATAGTTCGTTTGTTCCTTTTGACAACTTGAAAAAGTAATTTAAGCGTCTCCTATAATGTGTTCAGAATAGCTTAGAATGCACCAAATTGCACCATTCTTTTAAAAAAATTCAGGGGGAACATGCCCCCGGACCCCCCTAGCATCGCGATGGCCTACGGTCCTCGCATTGCTCGCTCCTCTGTTTGCTAATTTTTATTTCAGCTGAAAATTAAATTCTCCAATCTCATCCCTGTATATATAGTATCAGGAGTAAGATAATATAGGATTAGAGTAGGATCCTATATTATCTTACTCCTGATAGTATCATGCAGGCATATAGAATTAGGTATAATCACCCTAATCTACAGAAGACGTAGCGCCTGTATCTGAGATGTTCTCCGGCTGTCTACAACTGCGTCCGCTCCCTGCGTAACACTGTTTGTATTACCGTCGCCGTTTCGCTCCCGTCTTCAGGTATCGGAGGAGAAGCCGGCCGGTGCCTCTCCCGTGAAGATGACGCGCAGCGGCCGCGTCATTCACTCGCCCGTGCGTCCCGGCGCCATGCCATCGCCGCCGCCAAAGCCGAAGGAACCCGCACACTCGCCGCGACCGGCCGCCAAGCCGACGCCGAACAAGTCGTCTCCGATGCCGGTCCCCCTGGCGGGAAGAAAACGAATAAAGTCGGATGCCGGCGCAACGGCCGCCGTCGTGAGACCCCCGCCAGCGAAGAAACTGCCAGGAGACAGCGAGCGTAAAGATGGAGTGATGTTGCAGCTGGCGACGCCGCCGGCCGCCAATCTCGGCGACGTGAAACAGGCGGTCGACCACAGCAGGGAGATACGCGAGATATTCGGATTTGCCGACGACGAGGGTGACGGCGAGAATGCGGAGAAAGCTGAGGAAGCCGACGGGAGGATCGTGGAGAGATCGGAGCTGAAGAGCGCAGGAGAAGCACGTGTGGAGAAGGGAGAGGCTGCCGGTACGCCAGCGGTGGTTGCAGAGAATTCCGGCAAAGAGAAGGAGGGTAGCGATGAAGCTGAGAAGAAAGTCGCCGTAGATGAGCTTCTCATAGAGGAAAATGCGACGAAAGTCTCCATTGAGATGCCTGTAGAGGAAGCCAGGGAGGAGGCAAAGGAAGGTGAGGTGTCCAGAGAGGAAGCAGAGAAACAGTTTGCTGTGGAGGAGGAAGTAGTTGCTATTGAGCAACCTCAGCAGCAGCAACAAGAGGAGGAACTGGTTTTGCAAGAATCGGGTAACACTTCTATTCAAAATTCCATTTGCTGTTAGTCAGCCGTGTTAGTGAAGATTTCTGTATTTGATTGCAACAGAAGTCATTCAAATTCTGTTTCAAGATTTCGTAATTTTTGTACTTGGTTTTAAAAATACTAAAGGTTTTAATAATGATCTATAATAATCTTTTATAGCAACTGTTTAGGTAAGCTATACAATTTTAATGTTGTGATTTAACATTTTTCAGCTATGTCATATCCAGTGATTGAAGAAGACAGTGAAGAATTAACCACAGAACAACAGGAAGAGAAAATTATCGCCATGGATACAAACACGCCGATGACAATTGAGGAAAGTACAGTCGTTGGCATAGAAGCGGACGCGGTGGTTGCCGAACAACAAAGTAACGTGATAACACGAGAGGAGGAGGTAGCGGATAAGGTGGATGGGGAATCTATCGAAGTTCAGGATGCTGACACCAACACTGAACAAGACGTGAAGCACTGGCAGGTCGCTCAATCCGCCGAGGGATCGCGCGACTTTGTACAGGTCACGGAGGTCATGGTAGCGGCCGCCGCCCTGGAGGCAGAAACAGGACAGGTAACGCGTGCGTGGTGTGTGTGTGTGTGCGTGCGTGCGTGTGTGCGTGCGTGCGTGCGTGCGTGCGTGCGTGCGTGCGTGTCTGCGTGAATTCGGCTATATTTATTTACACATTTTATTGCAGGGAAATTTTGTACCTAAGCTATTCCTGTCCAAAAGAAGATACCGTTTTGCCATTGGACCTTGTAGAATTTTGTTGACCTAGTTGTTAATTTGTGTTCGCTTTTGGTTGCCAGGTGATCCAAGAAGCGATGGGGGAGAGCGAGGAGGTGGAGACGACCGAGCCGGTGGCGCCACCTGACAACACACAACCGTACACAATTGTGCAGGAGATTCACGTACATCCAAGTCAGATACAGGTTAACTAACCTGCAGCCGCTGCTGCCATCACCCACCAACAATACTCCTTTTCTCTTACTGTTAATTTGAGAAAATAATGATTGATGGTGCCAGACTATGCCTTAGATCACCTTCATCAGAACATTTCTTCTTATGTCTTGCTCAAATGATTTAAATTGTCTTATTTTTCCAGTTAACTCGTGACATTACTCACTAACTTTCTTCTTCCCTTTATAATTTAACTCGCCTCCGTTTTCTTGCCGTCCTGAGAGCAGCTTTGCAACAATTTGTTTTATTTTTGGCCACCAGGTAGATGAAGGAGTTCAGCTTCAGATAGATAATGTTGACAACATTATTCAGCTGGATCAGCCATTGATCGCCATCAGGCGTGGCAGGCGGTCTCTGAAGGAGCGGGGAGCCGAGTTTGAGATGGTCGTACAGAACAGGGTAAGGCGAATTTGCAGCGATACAGGTTTCTGTCTGTTTAAGCTAGCTAATTAAGCAATATCCCCATAGAAATTTTGTGAGAAACTTATAGTGAAGCGAACGTTAGACATCTGTGTAGTTACCAACTGTGGCTATCCATTGAATAAAGTGTCCAGTTCACTAATAATGTCAAATGATATGCTAGTTCCTGTAGCTGTTCTTGTGTCTAGTTCCTGTTGACCACGTGTGTGTGATTTTTGACTGTTTTTCCGTAGGACGGCGGCAAGACTTTTGTCTGCGTAGAATGTCAGAAGGAGTTTCCATCGAGGGCGCTACTGTTCCGCCACACCGTCATCCACACGGGCGAACGTCCGTACGAGTGCGAGAGCTGTGGCAAGGCTTTCCGACAGAGCAGCACCCTGAGCAGACATAAGGTGAGAGGTCAAGTGCAGTCTCCAAGCGCAGTGGATCCGCGTTACCGTTTACCAGTTTACCATGCACACGCTAACCCGCCTTACGTAATGGGGTGGAATGCGTTTGTCAAGCGAATCGCACTATTGTCGTGAATTTGTTTATCTTTTTTGTTATAAATAAGTATGTCATGTCTCGTCGAACGTTCACTCAGCAGTTATCGTCTGCCGTGCCCCTTAACCGCTCACGAATTCCGTGACATATTGCATTAACGCCGGCACGTAACGTGGCGCCCTCTCGCAGGCGACGCACTCGGTGGCGCGTCCGTTCGCGTGCGATGAGTGTCCGATGGCGTTCAATCGTCGCTCGACACTGCTCGCGCACAAACGCACGCACAGCGAGCAGAAGCAGCACGTCTGCCCGATCTGCGGCAAGGGCTTCCACCTCAAGGCCAACCTGCAGAACCACATCTACGTTCACACGGGCGAGAGACCCTACAAGTGCCCGCACTGCGAGAAGGTAGGTGGCGCCGGGGTCGGTCGAGGGGGGCAGGGGCCGGTAGACCGCCGAGTGGATTCGCGTCGACTCGATTTGTCATCTTACGTCTTACGGCCGCCGCGCTGCTCTTACAGCGCCGTAGTGTTTACCGCGTCGCAGTGGCGTCGCCGCAGCGCTACCGTGCTGCCATCTGTGACAGCGTGTTCAGTTGTTCCGTTGTTTGTGTCATGTTACCGTGTTCTGTTGTTCCGTGTACAACATTGTTTCGTTTGTCGTGTCGTGGTACCGTGTTCTGTTGTTCCGTGTACAGCATTGTTCCGTTGTTCGCGTCACGTTACTGTGTACAACGTTGTTCCGTTTGTCGCACAGGGCTTCAACCAGAAGTCGAACCTGGCCTGTCACATCCAGAAGGCACACAACAAGGCGCCGATCAAGTGTCGAACGTGCGACCGCGACTTTGCGAACAAGACGACTCTGCGCTACCACGAGACGTACGTGCACGGACCCGAGGCAGTCACGCACCTCCCCCTGGTGGCCAACCGCAAGGGACGGCCGCCAAAGTCCTCTATCATCACCAGGGACGGCGAGGAGATTGAGGTATGCATCGATGTTGTCTGCACTGATAGAAAAAACCTCGTCAGCTATTGACGTGTCATAGATTATCGCGTACGAACCCCGCTCTCCATCAACCTAACGATCCACGTCCGAACGATCGTCGTCCTTCGACAATTCCGAACAAAACCGCCGATAAATCATCAAGCAAATTTCCGAGCGCTACTAGCTAAGATCGTCCACCACATTTGCGAGCGCTACTAGCTTCGTGCGTCGGCTGCAGGTGGATGGAAACGGTGAGGAGGAAGACGAGTTGGACGAGGATTACGCGAACGGCGTCAAGATGAGGGTGAACATCCTGCAGCGTGCGGGCGCGCCGGCGCGACGCGAGTACACGTTCGGTCCCACGACCCGCCTCGGTGGCAAGGTTGGTGACGAGATGGTGATGAAACACGGGCGCGTGCAGGTGTTCCACAAAAGGAACCTTCAGCAGGAGGTGAGCGGTCACCACCACCACCCCGCTCCCACCGGCCCACTCCGCTTGGCAATCGCACGCGAGGGAAATGAGTCGAGGTCGTTGCAAGGACGTGTTACGAAGATCGTAATCACGAGCGTTTCAGTAATGGCGATGGCAGCTTCCACCGACATATAGTAGTGTCCCATGATTGTTCTTTCTGTTAGTTTGGTGAAGGGGGGGGGGAGAATTAAAAAAAGGAAAACGAATGTAGTGCAGTGGGGGCGTCATTTGAATCTTGCATATGTTACGATGAATTTTTTTGTAGTTGGCATCTCTCGGCTATGATGCAGGTTTTCGTTGCTTCACCGGTGATCTGTAATGCGTTCGCTGACGCGATGCTCTCTGGGAATATTATAATTTAATCACACGTATCTTTTTCCTTCACAGCCATCGAATCAACAGACATTCTTACACCATTGCACAGATGGAGAGATGAACAGAGTCCTCGGTATGAAAGTGGCCACCAACCAAGATGAGATGTTGGATCAGAGGTGTGTTCAGTGTAGTTGTGAGCAGTTGTAATAGGCGCAGACTATTTAAAACTAAACGGTGATAACATTGGTCGTTGTGCAGTTGTGCAAGCGTGTTACTACTTGAAAAAACATTAAGTTACTTAAAAGCATTTGTTACTTGAAAAGACGTTACGTTATAATCAATATAATCGGCGGTCTCGTCTCGCATAAGATGTTGACTGTACAAAGATATATTTTTTAAGGAAATGTTTATTTTATATGATAATTTTATTTTTATTTATTTATTATTATTTTATTTATTCGTTTATATATGTTATATTATATAACATATATTATTACATGTTATTTGTCTGTGCAGCAAGCAGCGGGCACGTGCCCCCCAGCCTACTATAGCGATGTTGAAGACTGGGGATAAACCGATGCTGGTGAAGATCATGCCACAGGTCGGAGGCGTGCAGACTGTCGTGCCGCTCACCATGGGTGACCTGAAGCTGCTCGCCGTAGAAAGCTCCTCGACGGGTGAGTGAGCCACGACATGCTACATCATCGCGTCATGCTACATCACCATGCCGCGTCATGCTACATCACCGCGTCATGCTACATCACCATGCCGCGTCATGCTACATCACCGCGTCATGCTACATCACCATGCCGCGTCATGCTACATCACCATGCCACGAC